CTCCTTTTTTACTTGCTGATGTCACGGTCATGCATTACGTTCAGGCCATGTGTTCTTGTAATCTTTCCCCCAACTCTACGGCTCCTCCGTTTGGCCACTGAGCCTTACAAAGGAAGCGTCATAAAGGGCAGGAAATGTCCCGACAGCTGCTTGAGATTCCACAGCACTGACTTTATCGTGATTGACAGCGAGCTCCCTGCTGCGTCTCCCCAGTGGTTCCGAATCCCTGACGGAGGCAGTTTCTGATTTGCGCGGCTGCAAGGGAGCCGATAAAAATTTCATGAAATCAAGGAGCGTTGCTTAACCTGGCTTATCATTCAATCGCACGGCTTCCTTTCCAGATTAAGGATTTGTGCTCTTTCTGCGGTTCGGTTGTTTATTGTGCAATAATATATTTCTGCCTGTGACAGCAGCTTCTAATTACGCATCGTGCTGGGAAAGCTCTATGATCCGTGCCCCGTAAACTATGTTAGCGGGTGTAAGGTAATTATGCTCAGGCTTGGTAATTGAGCTCCTTGAAATATTTAGCAGGCGCTCTTGGATACTGGAGAGGAAAGCTTACGGTTGGCTATTTTAGGCTCAAATCAATTATTTATATCTGAAGAGAGTTGTGGAAACTGCAGCTTGCCCTAAAACACCCTTGAACTTATTTCAATGGAGTGGGAGAATGTTATAGAAAGAAGATGCCACCAGACGTGCATATTTTAGCAGTTCCTCCACATCCATCGTCATTATGAGCAAATGTATGTAACAGAACTTAACTTCCAACAGGGCAATTCTATGGTACATTTATATATTTTTTAATTTTATTTTATTTTATTACAATAAATATTTTATTCTTTATTCCATATAGAAAGTTAAATTTGATACTCAACAATCATATTCCAATTCAACAGAACTAGTGACTTCCTTCTCGTCCAACATCGATGTTTATAACCCAAGCTGTGGGTTAAACCACAGAGCCTAGGACTTGCTGATCAGAAGGTCGGCGGTTCGAATCCCCGAGACGGGGTGAGCTCCCGTTGCTCAGTTCCTGCTCCTGCCCACCTAGCAGTTCGAAAGCACGTCAAAGTGCAAGTAGATAAATAGGTACCGCTCCGGCGGGAAGGTAAACGGCGTTTCCGTGCGCTGCTCTGGTTCGCCAGAAGTGGCTTAGTCATGCTGGCCACATGACCCGGAAGCTATATGCCGGCTCCCTCAGCCAATAAAGCGAGATGAGCGTCGCAACCCCAGAGTCGGTCACGACTGGACCTAATGGTCAGGGGTCCCTTTACCTTTACCTTTACATAAAATTAGGGATGCGGGTGGCGCAGTGGGTTAAACCACAGAGCCTAGGGCTTGCTGATCAGAAGGTCGGCAGTTCGAATCCCCGCAACGGGGTGAGCTCCTGTTGCTCGGTCCCTGCTCCTGCCAACCTAGCAGTTTGAAAGCACAGCAAAAGACCGCAGTTCCGCCTTGAGCTCATTTCACATGCGCATATTGATCCTGAATCCTCTGACAGCTGCTATGCTCATCATATGTTTCACTGTTTAGTTATTTATTTAAAGGAATTTCTAAACCTTTTAGCCCTTTAAAAACCCCTAAGTGGTGTACACTATCTCTAGTATAAAAATGATATCCATCAAAACAAATAATATAACAAAAAACCAATTAAACAACCTTAAAACATATGCATGTGTATAAAAGCAAGTAAAACAGAGATTCTGGGGATTCTCACACATAAAACAGGGTCCTTTGCTCAAATGGCTTATAATATTATATAGCCTCTGTCCAAATACATTGTAATATTTGCTCTCTTATTTCTGGATTAGCCATCATATAATGTCAAGCAAACATTCACTGGTGCTCTAACTCTGTCCTGATATGTCACAGATGATCTGAAACACAAGCCTTGGAGTTACAGTTAATATCATGTTTGCGTAGGTATTGCATCTGATTCCGTGAAAATGTATTTGTAGTATCTACTTCTATAAAAGTAGACTAAGTTTGCTCCTCAAGGAGGGGAGGAGTTGTGAGCAGCAGCCATTTCCTGTTTTGGCAGGGGGTGTTCCACCTCCTGCCCAACTGCTCTGGCTGCCGTGCCACGCCCCCCTTTTGGCTCGGGTGGCAGTTAGGCATTGGAATATGGTTGTGTGTTGGAAGGCAGGGTGTGGTCATCGCCTACCCCTCCATTTTATGGGTATTCCGGTAAAGGAATCCGGCGGTCGTGGATCCTGTCCGACGCCCTTGCTGGTGGCGAGGGCCATGGCACGACCCCCGGTGACATCAGGGGAGAGCTTACAGTCATATTTGCATCAACAGGCTCCCCCTACTGGTGATTAACCCCCGCTAGACTCACCCCTCTCCGAGTGGGTGGAGTCATCTTTGTTGTTATTCCAATGCCTAAGCCAATACCTCTCACATGCTGTAATCAATAAAGTTGTGGCCTTTTCTAGCCCATAAACCTAAAATACCATGTCCATGTGTCTGTTTTATCCTCAAGCGGGTGGTGGGTCCTTGAATCACAACAAACATTGTGGAACTGTGAACAAGGTGTTTAGGATGAACCTTCAACCTGTCTTAAAACAACAACAAAGCAATTACTCTTTCTGCTCACAAATATTCTTTCTTTGGCGATCACTCGTAGCGAAGTAAGATTGTCTTCCATAAACACAGTTTTAACAATGAGTCCGTAAGTGACTGTGAAGGCCAATTCTGGATCCACACGTCCTTCCACAGTGGGGACATTGGTTTCCAGGCAGGAGTTGATCACAGTGTGGATTTGCCAAGTGTGCCTTCCTCTTAGCACGTTTCTCCCTTGCGTTCTGAGTTTGAGTGTCTTCAAAGTCCATGACACCTTTGGTAAAGGCTGTACTCCAACTGGAGCACTCTAGGCTGCCTGTGTGCTTATCTATAGGAGAATCTAGCTTGGCAAATTGCCCTGGAAATTTTGTTTGTTTTGTCATTACAAAAATGATACCATCCATAAGCCCAAATGAAATAATTCTTTGTAGGCATCCAGGTATGCTCCATTTGCAGAGAACGAATATTGAATCTTACATCTAGTTCTCATGTACCCTGGTCGTAAATATTTGTAGATTCTTTGCATGTAAACCTGGTGAAATGTTGCTGTTTTTGCTTGTTTGTGGCACAGACAGTTTTAGAGTCCGGCAGGCTGCCCACTTTTCTGTGTCTGCCATTATCTGAATGTGCCAGAGGACATTCTCAAGGCTGAGCACCTGTCAGAGTGAAGCTGGAAACCAGAAAGTTGTGCCAGGAGGTCAGAGCCGGGAAGTCAAGTCAGGAGTCACTACTGAGGAACAAGGCTAGGAATGAAAGCTTGAAAGAAAGAGTAAATCCAAAATGTGCCAGAGCTGGGAAGGCTTTTGCTGCCCGGGCAAGTTCTAGCCCAGGCATAGGCAACCTCGGCCCTCCAGTGTTTTGGGACTACAACTCCCATGATCCCTAGCTAACAGGACCAGTGGTCAGGGGTGATGGGAATTGTAGTCCCAAAACATCTGGAGGGCCGAGGTTGCCTGTTCCTGTTCTAGCCCAAGGAGGAAGCTGTTTTACAATTTAAAATACTCATTTAAACGTCCTTAAAATATCAATAAGGGACACGGGTGGCGCTGTGGGTTAAGCCACGGAGCCTAGGACTTACCGATCAGAAGGTCGGCGGTTCGAATCCCGCAATGGGGTGAGCTCCCGTTGCTCGGTCCCTGCTCCTGCCAACCTAGCAGTTCGAAAGCACGTCAAAGTGCAAGTAGATAAATAGGTACCACTCTGGCGGGAAGGTAAACGGTGTTTCCGTGTGCTGCTCTGGTTTGCCAGAAGTGGCTTAGTCATGCTGGCCACATGACCCGGAAGCTGTACGCCAGCTCCCTCGGCCAATAAAGCGAGATGATTACCGCAACCCCAGAGTCGGTCATGACTGGACCTAATGGTCAGGGGTCCCTTTACCTTTACCTTTAAAATATCAATGACTTCCCTTCTTCCCTTTCCATGGTTCATTTTGCTTATCATAAATCCCTGCATATTTTACAAAAACTAAACCATTCAGTATTCCATTATTACACCCATCAAAACTTATTTACACTGTTGAATTAGTCTTAATGCTGCCAGCGTTTTCAGCTGTACACAATTTTCGCCGATATATTCAATAAACATTTTCCAGTCTCCTCTAAACGTATGTTCTTCTTGTTCTCTTATTCTACATGTTGAGTCTGTAAGCTGTGCATATTCTGTCAGCTCTAGTTGCTATTCTTCTTTGGTTGGGATTCACTCGTTTTCCATTTTTGGGCTAACGAACCACAGGCCACAGTAGAAGCATACATAAATAACCGTTTTTGACACCTGGGAGGAGGAAGGCTTTTGTAGTTCTTCCTGTTTAGGAGGATTTGGTGGCCAGCCTGGGTGGGTAGGACCAGTCGAGCACCTGAGAACTAATACGTCCCTTAAAAAAATATGCTGCAAACTGCAGTCCTAGTAGCTCACCATAGAGAGCAGCAAAGGGCTGAAGATTCCCTGCTTTAAGTCCTGGGAGCTCCTGATAAATGTATACAAACAATCCGTTGTCTTGGAAAATGGGGTGTGGGCCATTCTGCTCACTGTTAGATGTGGGCAACGTTAATTTTGAAAAATCATAGCTTTTGAATAACCGAGGCTCAAAAATGAGAGTTCCACAGTGTACCTGGAAGAAATTGAACAGGAAAATGCATTCCTACTTTGATTTATGCTATTGTGTGCTCAGGCAAGGTGACTTTTGTGCGAGGGATAATGTGCGGTTCTTCTTTATCACGCGGCTCTTGAGCCACAGTGTTCCATGTCGCTGCACTGCAGTCTGTTCTGCAAACAAGGCATTGTTCTCTAGAGTGTGTTTACTAAAACAGTCACCCTCAAATAATTACAGTATTTAGAAACATCACATTTAAAGCATTATGCGCTGCTCAAAGAACCCTAAACAGCAGGGTTGAGATGTGACTCCCCGGGAGGCGGCTAATTTTCTCTCTGCTGCTTTACAGACCTTACATGTCCATTGGAACGCTGCGGGATCAAGTGATCTATCCTGACTCTGTGGACGACATGCGTGAGAAGGGCTACCAAGACCAGGATCTGGAATGCATCCTGCAGATAGTTCATTTGAATCACATAGTGCAAAGAGAAGGAGGTAAACACTTTTAAGGTCTCCTATTTCAAATCGAGCAAAGGTCAGGGCTGCCCCAATAATGTTCAGGTAAAAAGGTAAAGGACCCCTGGACAGATAAGTCCAGTCAAAGGCGACTATGGGGTTGCAGCGCCCATCTCGCTTTCAGGTGAGGGACCCGGCGTTTGTCCACAGACAGCTCTCCAAGTCATGTGGCCAGCAGGACTAAACCGCTTCTGGCGCAGCGGGACACCGTGACGGAAACCAAAGCGCACGGAAATGCCGTTTACCTTCCCACCACAGAGGTGCCTATTTATCTACTTGCACAGGCTTGCTTTTGAACTGCTAGGTTGGCAGGAGCTGTTACAGAGCAACAGGAGCTTACTCCGTTGCGGGGATTTGAACCTCCGACCTTCCGATCAGCAAGCCCAAGAGGCTCAGTGGTTTAGACCACAGCGCCACCAACGTCCCAGTAACGTCAGACACAACCTGCCCACTTAGAGGGGAGGAGGAAGGGGTCTGTTGGGAGAACTCAGGATCTGCCTTCAGTCTGGAAAGGTTTCTGACTTTGCAAGTACCGTATTTTTCGCTCCATAAGACACACCTGACCATAAGACTTTTAGAGGGGGAATGCAAGAAAAAAAATATTCTTTAAAGGGAGCGCTGCATCCCAGGCTCTGCTCTGCTCAGCGCTCCCTTTCACGAGCCGCGTGGAGCATGTGTGCGGTGCTTGCAGGCTTTTCCCCGAGGAGGGAGAAGGGCCCAAGGGCACACACACTCCGCGCGGCTCTTTAAAGGGAGCGCGGCTCTTTGGGGCTTTTCCAGGAGGTGGGGGAAGGGACTGAGGGGCTAAGCCAGAAGCTAGAACGGCAAGAGGGAGCCCCGCACAGCAATCCCTCTTGCTGTTCTGGCTTCTGGGATAGCTGCCCAGCCTGCATTCGCTCCATAAGATGCACACACATTTCCCCTTACTTTTTAGGAGGGGAATAGTACGTCTTATAGAGCGAAAAATGTGGTAATTAATAGCAATATAATTGTGGCTGGGTTTTTTCCAAATCTGATGTCGTGCTCAGCGCCATTGCCAGATCCCCCAGAGAAGGTGGCAGGGCAGATGCTGCAGAAGCACAGATAGCTCCAAGGAACTATCTGTAGGAACTTGCTGTACAGTGGTACCTCGGGTTACGAACTTAATTCATTCCAGAAGTCCGTTCTTAACCTGAAATTGTTCTTAACCTGAGGTGTGCTTTTGCCAATGTGGCCTCCTGCTGCCGCCGCCACACAATTTCCATTCTCATCCTGGGGCAAAGTTCACAGCCCGGAGCAACTACTTCCAGGTTAGCGGAGTTTGTAACCCGAAGCGTTTGTAATCCGAGGTACCACTGTAGTTGAAAGCAGACGGAGCCTTTTAAGCTCAATCTGCTTTCAACTTTTAAGCAGGCTGCAGCCTTTGTGCAGCTCATCTGCACTGCGCATATGTTTATAATCCAAATTTATAAAAAATACCAAAAGTACAGTATAGTAAACGTTCCATTTGTTACTTAAAGCTGCCCTTGGAACTCCAGTTACCTGGAAATAATCTTCTTAGAATTCAGCTGGACTTTCTTCTGAGTAGACATGGTTAGGATTGTACTCTAAAGCTGACCTTTTAAAGGCAAAAATGGAGAAAAGGAAGAAAAGGAAGTTTAAATCGGAGAGTAAAACGTACCTGTTCTCTTTGGGTGCCTTTGAAGGGTGGGATGCTGTTACAGACTGGAAGGATGTCCTGTCCGGAGGAGAAAAGCAGAGAATGGGGATGGCTCGGATGTTCTACCACAAGTAAGTAAATTTTTTCCAAGTATGGATAGGATGGGCATAGGTAGATTGCATTGGTATTGCTCGGGGGGTTCAAGGCAGAATAAAGCACATGGTGCTGTAGAGGGCCCAATTCAAAGTGCTGGTATTGACCTATAAAGACCTTAAGAGCCGTCTGTCTCCATACAAACTAACCTGGACCTTGCATTTGTCACTTGAGGCCCTTTTCTATGTCCCCCTTCCATGAGAGGTTTGGAGGGTGGCCACACAAGACTTTAGTTGTTCCCGAGTTGCTCTTTGCGCATTTATAGTCTGTACAAACAAGAACCTGGTCATGCTGAAAAACAAAAACAAAAAAAAAAAATTAAAAACCATTTTCTTAAGAGTAGGTCCAGCAACTTGTCTTGCCAAGCTGACAGAAGCTGCATTTAAGTATGTTTACTTGTGGCAGGTGGTCCAGGTTGCTTTGAAATTAAGGGACAGTCCAAGCACAGGCATAGGCAAACTCGGCCCTCCAGATGTTTTGGGACTACAACTCCCATCATCCCTGACCACTGGTCCTGTTAGCTAGGGATGATGGGAGTTGTAGTCCCAAAACATCTGGAGGGCCGAGTTTGCCTGTGCCTGGTCAAGTACATGGTGGGGGAAACAGCATGGACTCCCATTTCCAGAGAAAAACTTAGAAGAGACATTGTTTGGGGTTAAGAGATCTCTGCACCAGCTGCTCCCTATGTCACTGGGGGCATCAAGAAAAATACTTGATGCAGATCATCTTCAACTTTTTTGGGGAGGATTGCTGAAATCAGTTTTACAGTCTGAAGGATCCCCATTTGCTTTGCTCATAGTGATCATGAGAGCAAATTGCATTTCACGTCAATTAAGTCTGTTTCAAGTTCAAATGTGGATCGTTCTCATGGGTGCACACACCTTGAGCTGCCTTGAATCTCTAATATGCGGGTGTCCGATGTAACTTTTCCTTTAGCTTGCAGAAGTTATCTTGGGCGGCCTACCACATGAAAAGGGGGAATTGCATTCGGTATATAGCTAAGATGATTGCTCTGAATCCAAAATTTCAGCGCATTTGGGGGGAATCCAATGCGCACTTGAATGCAAGTGTGATTCGCACGAGAATGTGCATCTTGGTTCGCCTAAATCATGCCTCCTAGCTGTTTCAAAAAGTGAATGAATAACTATTTGTTTTCCTGCTTTACAAGGCCCAAATATGCGTTGCTGGATGAGTGTACAAGTGCTGTCAGCATTGACGTCGAAGGGAAGATATTTCAGGCTGCTAAGGGGGCTGGCATATCCCTGCTTTCTATAACACACAGACCATCTCTTTGGTGAGTCTTTAAAAAACCTTGTTGCCAGATAATGTATGTAGTTTTCATCAGGTACTGTATTCACCTCACGATTATGTGGCATTCCCAATCACAAGACTCTTGAAGCAAACAGCACATATTGTTGGCATCTGTCTGTCTCAAGAGACTATGAAGTGCACCTCCAGGTGTGAAGTCAAACCACCGTGTTAGCAGCACTGAAATGACCTCCCTGAGCTGCAAGCCTGGGCAGAGTGTCTGGAGGTCCTGGGCTGCCCAGATGACCCTCACTTGGCCTCGCTGATGTGGTCCAAAGGAAAGCAGAGCAGTATGTTTGGCACCAGGTGGGCTACCGGAGCTGCCAGAAGGAGGCACACAAGACACCATCCAACCGTCTTAGAGACGCCACTCCAGATTTGTGTAGGGTTTGCTCCTTAGCCTTTCCTCTCCCGAAGATATCCTATAAGGCAGTGGAGGGTTAGGGCTTCCTGTTTGCGTGGCGAGTTCCCGCCTCCCCCCAGTAGGAATAAAGACACAGGACACAATTATTTAAGGTTAATGGGCTAAAATTGGTCACAACTTTATTGGTTACAGGTAAGAGCGGTATTGGCTTAGGCATTGGTCCTATCAGACTATCCAGCTTCAGCCTGTTTTCTAGAAAACCAGATAGGGTTAACACCAGCAGGGGGAACCCTGCTGATGCACATCAACTTGGTACTCCCCCGGGGTCACCGATTGGGGGCGCGCTTTAGGCCCTGGCCTCCATAGGCTTCGGACGAGACAACACCCCCCGGAATCCTTTACTGGACTACCCTTCAATATTTGGGGGAGGTGATGGCACTCCTTCCCCCCCAATACATCTACATAACAATACCCCTACCAATGCCTAACCGCCAAAGCCAAGGAGTTGTGACGATTTTCCACGAGGTAGGCGAAAAACCAAATGGCCAGTGCCAATTTGCCAAGTGGAAAAAATTCCTACCAGGCCCCTTAACGGCGACCAACCGAAGTCCATAGCAAGGTCAGAAGGGAAACCACAACAGCTGCGCGGGCCAAAGAGGGAGATCCCGGGGCTGCACTTGCCTTAATTGAGGCAAGCTATACCCCCTGAGCCAGCTGATTGGCTGGCTCAGGGAATGACGCGGCCCGAGGATCCCCCTGATCGCGCAGGGCTGGAAACCAGCCTCCACATGCGTGTTGGGGGCGTGAGCCCGCAACGCCACCTCCTCCTGATGTCGGAAGTGGCTTTCTGCCTGTGCCAGGAATGGAGGTCTCCCTCGACACCGCAGGGAGAGACAGACGGAGACAAACAAAAAATGATGGGGAAAACTCTTTCTTTGAATTCCTCTCTGGGTGGGAGAGGAACAGGCTCTCACCTGCAGATTGCCCTGCGGTCTGGCACTCACTTCCCTATGGAATAGTTACAGATAGGTATCCATGTTGGTCTGCCATAGTCAAAACAAAAAATTCCTTCCAGTAGCACCTTAAAGACCAACTAAGTTAGTTCTTGGTATGAGCTTTCGTGTGCATGCACACTTCTTCAGATACACTGAAACAGAAGTTGCCAGATCCTTCTATATAGTGAGAAGGTGGGGAGGGGTATTACTCAGAAGGGTGGTGGGAATGGGTGATTGGCAGATAGCTGTGATGAGCCTGTTGACGACTCTTAATGACTGCAATAGGTCTTACAAGTCGTTAAGAGTCGTCAACAGGCTCATCACAGCTATCTGCCAATCACCCATTCCCACCACCCTTCTGAGTAATACCCCTCCCCACCTTCTCACTATATAGAAGGATCTGGCAACTTCTGTTTCAGTGTATCTGAAGAAGTGTGCATGCACACGAAAGCTCACACCAAGAACTAACTTAGTTGGTCTTTAAGGTGCTACTGGAAGGAATTTTTTTGTTTTCCCTATGGAATGTGAGGGCAAGCAAAAGCACTGGGTTCAATGTGACTATCGTGACACACACACCCCCGATCTGGTCCCAGAAGCAGAGGATATCTTGCTGATTGGGCTTTAGCTGAAGTAAAGGCATGTGCTAGAGGCGATGAGACAACAAACTGTGAAACATCTCAGCTACAAGGATTTAAAGGTTGGAATTGAGATAAGGTTTTATTCAGTGCCACAGACTTTGTTTTTCAAAGTTTTTCTTCTACGTTTCTGATTTGGCAACCCTCCTCGGAATGCAAGGTTAAAATATAATATAGAAAGTGAAGGCTGAAGAAACTGGATTAATAACATGGAATTTAACATCAAACTGGAACTGCATGTGTGAGAGGAATGGGATGGAGAGAGAGAGGAAAGGGTGGGGGAGTTTCACCCTTTGAAAGGACTATGTTGGAATATAGAATGAAACCACCCCCACTGTTATTTTCAAAGGAATGTGAAGGAGGCTGAGACAATTTTGAACGTAATCTAACTGGAAAGATAACCGACTATAATTTTTCAGTTTATTTTTTTAATTCCCCCCCAAATGCTTTTTATTGAGATTTAAGAACACCAACACCAACCAACAAAAACATCAAATCTTATTACATATATCCTACTTTATGCTCCATAGAGCCGTTGACTTCCGTCCTTCCCTTCCGCAGGTTTTCTTATTCCAATCTGTAATTCACAGTTTCATTGGTTAAAAATTACACCGTGACATAAAGGAGGAGAGGAGTTTGCCAGCTCCAAGGTCAGAGGTTTTCTGGCAGTTTGGAATCGGACTGCTCTTCCTAGGTTGGGGGGGGGGACTGGTGAGGACAGTTTATTTGTTGAAACAGAGGAGTCTCTTACAAGCTTACAATCACGAGACGAAGTGATGTAGAGGCTTTTGGAAAACTGTGAGACAACCACTTACTCCAAGTCATGATGGGAAATATCAACAGTTGGAAGAATGAAGGACTCAACACCATTATATGGTTGGGACAACATCATGGGGGCAGGAATTATCACACGCAGGAAAGAACAATGATTATAGACTTGAGTACCTAACTCCAAACTTTATAAATTACTTAATATATTAACACAAACTGAAACCATAAGATTGTAGCTGTTGTATAAGGGATTACTATTTTGAAGGGAATGCAATTATTATTAAGCTTTTGGAACGCAGAAAATAAAACAAAACAAAGAGGAACCCATCAAAACTAGCAGGTGAGGAGGTCACTTTAACTGAACTGCATAATTCAGTATATAAATAATTGGTTTTAATAATTATATTAATTGGATAAAATTGGCATTGTTATAATGAGGCTGTTATTGGAACAATATTGGAAAATCTATATCTATCTAAAGGAAGGTAAAGGTAAAGGGACCCCTGACCATTAGGTCCAGTCGTGACCGACTCTGGGGTTGCGGTGCTCATCTCGCTTTATTGGCCAAGGGAGCCAGTGTACAGCTTCCGGGTCATGTGGCCAGCATGACTAAGCCACTTCTAGCGAAACAGAGCTGCGCACGGAAACGCCGTTTACCTTCCCGCTGGAGTGGTACCTATTTATCTATTTGCACTTTGACGTGCTTTCAAACTGCTAGGTTGGCAGGAGCTGGGACTGAGCAATGGGAGCTCACTCTGTCGCAGGGATTTGAACTGCTGACCTTCCGATCAGCAAGCCCAAGAGGCTCTGTGGTTTAATCCACAGCACCACCCGCGTCCCATATCTATCTAGCTATATAGATTTATATTTATCCAAAAAGGCAGTGATTGGTTAGGATCAGAGTTTTCCTTCTCCTAGATGGGCTCCCTTCCCAGGTTGACAAGCCCCTTCTGCCCCTCACTTCCCTCTACAACACGTGCAGAAACCGTCTTCTTAACCGTTGAAGCCAATGGAGGTTGCTCTCTGCAGACATAGCACTAGTTTCTGGACGCTGTAATTCTTGCAGCTTCCACGCTTTCGCAAATGCTCTTCTGAATGAACCCTAGGGAACTTGTTGCATTTCTGGTCTCTTCCTGAGAGTCTGCCCGCTCATCAAGGTGCTCCTGTGAATGTTTGAGGTTTTGTTGCTGGATTTCTGAGTGTTTCTTTTCTTCTCCTGCAGGAAGTACCATACACACTTGCTACAGTTTGATGGGGAAGGACACTGGCGCTTTGAGCAGTTGGACAATGCTATCCGCTTAACCCTCAGTGAGGAGAAGCAAAGACTAGAATCCCAGCTTGCAGGAATGCCAAAAATGCAGCAGAGACTGAACGAACTTTGCAAAATCTTAGGGGAAGATTCCGTGCTTAAAACAATGGACAAAGAAGAATAAATGTTTTTAGTTCATTTCCCCACCCCCATTTTTTAAAAAGTTAACGATGCACTTTGATTTCTGAGACACAGTGGTTTGCATGCACCTGATTAGTGTAGACTGTAAGGAGTTGGCCACAAACTCAATGCTTCAGATAACTGTCAGCTTTCTAATGTGAAGGAAGAAAGTGGTTCAAACTAAGGCTGTCCTGAATTTTAGTGAGTTCTGGTTTTCAGTGTGGGGGGAAACCGTTCTGAGAAGGCGTATGAAAAGGCTCTTGCAAAATCTTCTACCTTCCTAATATGCTCCTGGTTTGATGCAATTTTTAGGGCTTTGTTTTAGGACTGGTTTCAGGCACAGCACCACAGAGCAAATCAGATCTGAAGATGTGACAACATGCTCTGAGTTTGGGGGGCAAAAGAGGCAACTAGATTTAACTCCCAGTTCACAGAAGGGTTGTGACACAGTGGGGAGCACATGGGTTGCATGTCAACCTCCTACGTTCAGTCCCCAGCATCTCCTGGTAGAGACCTAGCCCTGAAGACCCACATCCAGTCAGTGTAGGCAATATTGAGCTACATGGACCAATGCTCTGACTCGATGTGGGGCAGCGTCTTGTATTCCCCAGATTTCTTGCTGTATAGCAAGTTGTTTGCTACCAGCTAGTTCATGTTGTGCATTCTGACGCTTGACAGTTTGGGACAGAATGAGAATGTAGGCATGCTGAATATGTACATCCAGATGCAGATCTAATGGATGAAAGTCTACATTTGGATGTGCATTAGCTGCGCATATAAATTTCGGATGCCACCCATCCATTTTGCAATGGGTGCACATGTGTATCCAAATGGTTGCCCACATTATGTCCTAACGATGTATTCAGCTATCTTTCTATTTATAAAGGACTGGCTCCTGGGTTGAGTGGGCTTTGGGCAAAGTGCTGTTGTGCGAGGACTCCTTTGCCATGGTGCCCCCCTAACATTTCTGGGGGGGACGTACAAGGGTGGCTGGAGGCAACAAAGAGCCCAAATGCCCCAGAAAACCTCTGTTTCCAGGACATGGTTGGAAACAGGGATGGCATCCACCATCTGCATTGTTCTTAGGTTATTATTTTAGAGCCCAGAACCATAGTCACCCGTGGTTTGGGGCCTAGTAGATTCTCTAAGGAGCCCCCAAGTGAATCTGAGCCCACAGATCTGGATCAGGGGAAGATCCAGGATTTCCCCCCCAGCCAGAACTCACCTGAACTCATTTCCAGCACCATTGCCATTATATAAGAGAACAAGGGAGGTGTTCGTGGTGAGTTCTGGCACCTCTTTTTCTAGAAAAAGAGCACTCGGAAGACCCTAGTACCCACCACCATGGGAGCACTGACATTTCTTTGCAAAAAGGTGCAGAAAATTCACTGGAAAAGTAGGGCTTGTGTCACGGTGGTGTGTGGTGTGAGAGAACTGTTAGCAAAACACGTTCCTCCTTTTCAGCTCGGCACTAGTTTGAACCCCAGAAAATTGTCAAGAAACGCACTGTATATATCAATCGTTACACCTTCCAAGCTCACGGCGCTCCTGGGAAGCTCCTTGTGTGGTTGGATTACCCTGACAGATTCTTGCTTCAAAGCCAGGAGGTAGAATATGATCTCCCACCATCCTTCTGCCCTGTGCGTATGATATGCCTGGTGTGTTATGCAGGCATGGAGCGACAGAAGGGCAGGGCTTGGTGAGTATTCAGGTGCATGGGGGACAGGGGGAGGCGGAACATAACATATATGGAGTGGGGATCATTTTTTACTTAAAAAAACCTGTGAAAATGATATTTGCAGATAATAGCACATGCATGTCAGCAGCTGTGCTTTCCTAGGAAGCAACAAAATGACAGGCAGCTTAGAAGATAAGGGGACAGCCCTGGCCTTTTCATTCTGTGCACGAAATGGCAAGTACGTCTCAAAGAAGAAATCTGGAGGCTGTTTTCTACTCTTACACTGGGAGGCATGCATCTGCGCTCTGTAACACAATGGGCACTTGTATCTACGTCTTACTTAAAGTAATTCAAGGTGATATACTACGAGTTTATTCCATTTACTTTCACGAAACTGTACGCTGCTTCCCTTGTTGCTCCTATTATAGTTATCACTGTAATAGCAATAGAGGGAGACCGTTCTGAACTGTTTCAAGGTGGCTGGTGGTTCCTACAATGGGCTGTTTGGGGTGTGCCAGCCACATGCACAGAAAGTTAGCCTATACGCCAATTCAAGGTTCACTGGGTGCTCTTTTAGCAAGGTCAGGGTGATTTCTGATTCCCTTTTGCATTTTGGAAAGAATGGTCTATCCTTGAAAGTAACCTGTCATTTTGGAGAGAATGGTCTATCCTTGCCAGGTTATTTTCAATTGGGTTCTGCGGCTTCCTAGGGTCCATTCCTTGATCCCATTTCCAAATTCCAGGCACCTGACTTGAATGCCCATTGCTTGTTGGTTCTTCCACCGACAAGGTAAAGGAATTTGCCTTCTATCAGGTTAGACTGTGTGTCCATTCAGCCCCATATTGTCTACACTGACTCGCAGCAGCTGTCTACTAGAGTCTCAGGCAAACGTATTTCACATTACCTGCTACCTCATGCTTTCGGTTGGAGGTGCCAGGGATTGGATTTGGGACCTTTTGCATGCCAAACATGTGTCCTGCCATTGGCCCTTGCTCGCTCCTGCATGTTAAAATTATTACTGTGCGTCTTAGTGCAGAAGCGGATGATCTGATTCTAACCCTGCTGTATTGGAGTAGACAGAGTGCTTAACAATGTCCAAATCCCAGCAATTGAAAAGTAATTGCTTGTTTTTCTTTGATAACGGAATTACTCAATAAACTAATATGGGAGAAAAGAGAAAAGATAAGAAAAGTCACTTCCAGACTGTCACTATTTTTGAGTAGGATTCAAAAACATGCCAGCCAATTCAAGTAGCGCAGTTTAAGTTGATTTGGCTCTCTTCCACAACAAACTTGCTTCCCCCTCAAAACAGGCTCTCGGTGGCAAGGAATGCGATGAGAAAATGCACTCTGGAAAATGTGGGGTAACAATTGCTTGACATGATATCATCTAACCTCCCCGCAAACGAATCAGGGTGAATGCTGAATAAACAGGCTGTCTGGGAGAAACCTAAGATCATAATGCTAATTTTGATATGTAGTCGCAGACCAGCAAGTGTTTCATAATAAGAATTCAGCAACCAGCTTTTAGTTAATGGCATTATTGGGGCCTGTTCAGAAGTCACAACTTATGGATAGCATAAATTGGCTCAGTGTTATATTTCAATGTATTTAACCATAGTTTTAATTGTTTATAAAAAATTTTTTAGAAAAATACTTTTCTCTCTTAAGCTTACTGAAGGCCCGGTGTGCTGTGTGATGGGAAATAAGAGACAGGGCCTTTGCAGGGGCCACACCCAGACTTTGGAATTCCCTGCCCAGAGAGAGTTGTCTCCCCCTTTTCTTGACCTTTCCTTGACGATCTTTTTAATGATTTTGGTGAACTTTTTGCCACTGTTCTTAAGGGTTTTGCTGCTCTGTTTCTTCTAAGTAATGATGCTTTAGCGTTTTGTCATATCTCGATTGTGCTTTTTTTATCTGTTGTATTTCCTTTTGCCTGCACCTTTGAACTTTTTGGAATGGTGGGATAAAAATGGCTCAGATCAAATAAAGAAATTAAACACGAAAAGTAAAATAACAACAACAACAAAAATCTAGAGCGAATTGTAGTTTGCCTTTTAACTAGTGGTTGAAGTTAGCTCGGGTCAATTTCTACTCTAAAAGCAAACTTCAGTAAGCAGTAACTCTTTATGGTTCAGATATAATGTTGAACCATGGCTAACACTAACCAAGGAAGGCACATGCAAGACATTGGGGGGAATGTGTGAGCTTATAGGGTGCTCCCAATCAACAAACCATGGTTTAGTGATCAGGTAGCCTGACAGCCTTACCACTAAAGAGAATTAAAGTGTGACCCCCCCAAAAAAATGGGGGTGCTACTAAGCTGTGATGCCTGTTGTGTAAAATCAAACTAATATTTTTTCCTTGATTGTATTTTTTTTACTTCCTCTTTGCCTCAGCAGGAGCCCCACTTTCTCCTTTAATTTTGCTTTTCTCAAAATTCGACGGCAAGTTTTAGCTAACATATTCCAAAGCTGATGGAAGGCACTCCATGTCACTGAGGCTACCTGAGTTTCAAGTGGCGGCAAAATAATAATAATAATAATAATAATAATAATAATAATAATAATAATAATAATTTATTATTTATACCCCACCCATCTGGCTGAGTTTCCCCAGCCACTCTGGGCGGCTCCCTCTGATTCTGGACTGCTCTCTCCCACAGTGTCTTCCTGCTCACTGAACCCACTGCCAATCCCTTGGCTCTCAGTGTTTTCACTGGGGAGGGGTGTTCCTTAGGGGCTCCCCCGCATTCCTTTGCATCATCAGTCCACAGAATCACAGAGTTGGAAGAGACCACAAGAGTCATCTAGTTCAACCCCCTGCAAGACAGGGATCTTTTGCCCAACTTGTGTCTCGTGCTCTACCAACTGAGCTACCAACGTATCCAATAGATATAATGTTCTTAATAAGAACCTCAGCTATGCTGTCCAAAAGATTTGTGGCTGATAGTTGGGGGTGAGCGACGTCTGGCTTTCAACATCGTGATAAATCACTAGCTAAACAACATGAAATACCGATATAGCATGGCGACTGACATAAGGATGTAACTTTGTAGAGGCGAACTGGGTAATGTCCAGGAAACTTCTACTAATTAGGGATCTAAACTAATAATAAAATAATAATAATTTATTATTTATACCCTGCCCATCTGGCTGAGTTTACCCAGCCAATCTCGGCAGCTCCCAATCAAGTGTTAAAAACAATACAGCATTAAATATTAAAAACTTCCCGAAACAGGGCTGCCTTCAGATGTCTTTTAAAGATAGGATAGCTGCTTATTTCCTTCACATCTGAAGGGATGGCGTTCCACAGGGTGGGTGCCACTGGCAAAAGACCCAGATGGGCTCCCAAGCTACATATTCGCTCCTTCAGGACTTCCGGGTTGGCGCGATCCGGGAATGGCGGATTCCCTCCGAGCTCCGGAGGGAATCGGCTCAGCGGTGGATGGGTCTTTGCCGTGCCGGCGACACGGGGACCCTTAAAAACCGCAGGTGCAGATGCCTGCGGACTGAAGACTCGGCGGGTGCCTTAAGCGCCCCCCCTGATTCGCGAAGAGCCTTTTTAAAGGCTATGGAGGGGATACGGGGGACGGCGCGGCACTGAGAGTCGATCGCTACCGCCGCTGAGCGAAAGCCGCGAGCCATAACTGGAGAGCGCTGACTTCCTTCCTTAAAATTTGGACTGGAAAAAAAGAACCCGTGAGTAATTTGGAACTGAACTTTAAAATTTTTTACCTTCTGAATTTGAGACGACCGGGGGGTGTGCCAAAAGGAAGTCCCCACCCCCCCCCCTTGCAGACGATCCAGAGCAACGATATAAGAGCTAAGCTGGAGTGCCTACCCTGCAAAGGGTGAGTTTTAAAAAGACAGTAACTTCCAAGATTTGGAAAAGCAAAATTTGAGCAGGAGAGTGGTGTGTTGGAAGAGTCTTTGTTTTGTGGTGAACAACCCTTCCTCCCGGGCCCGGGAGTGACCTGCTTTGGAGCCTGTATAGAGGAGCAGAATTTGACAGCTGTCAAAGCTGTCAAATGGACTGTTAACAGTGGAAAAATTGCTATTTAAGACCTCTCCGGATTAAAAGGAGTTACAATTGAATTAAAATTGTGGGAAACAAAGAAACAATAACAAGACAGAGGATTGTTGGAGAAAAGTTCATTAAGTAACTAGATTCCCTCTAGGGGGAATTCTGTGGAATTACAATGGCTGTGGGTGGAAAGATACTGAGAGAAATCGAAAGGATGTTTTCACTGGTGGGAACCTTACAGGAGCAGACTATAGTTATGAGTAAACAATTGATGACCTTGAATTCGGAAACAAGTAGTTCTGCTGAATGTAAGGAAGACCTGAGTGAGAAAGAACCCACAGCTGAATTCGAAATAATAAACAAAGAAGAGGAGAAGACAAAACATGAAAGAGAACAAGTTATGTCGGAAAATACTAACCAGAAGACGGCATTTGGAGAACACAAGCAAGGAGACTATTGGATTAACTCCATTTTAAGCCTACGAAGGATACAGAAGACGAAAGAGGAAGCCCTGGAAGTTTATGGAATTCAGGAGCTTGAAATAAAGAAGTACAATTGGGGCATCCACATAGACTTTGACTTTGACTATCACCAAGACTTAGGCCTTGCAGAAATGCCTCAGCAGTTGTTTCTAAATATGGGAAGAGACTATGGATTGATTGGATTGATTGTTAAGGAAATCTTTCGAGACTCGATGACCAACAAAAAGGACTACCAACAAAATCGGCGGAGAGGGACTGAAAGAGAGTTGAGAGCTTTGGATGTGCGGAATCCAGGCTAAAAAATGTTATTTTGGACATGTTTTGGGAAAGGACGCAAAGCGGGAATGGGAGGGAGGGAAGCATTTAAATTTAAACAACACTCAAGACCAGGGGGTTTAGTTAATAAGAAAATTATTTAAGAAAAATGAGAAATCGTGGGAAGAGAATTGGGGTCCAACTTAGGGAAAATTTATTTTTGTTTTTATAAAAGGATTAATATCAAGACGGAGAAGGAAATGCTAATTTGCTGACATAAACTTGGGAATAGGGATGCAAGGGAGGGGGGTGGGGGGAAGTCAAGGACTAGGGTTAGAAAATAAGATTTTCGGGAACTATACATGTTTGTTGTTTTTTATGTTTGTTTTGATGTTATGTGTTGTGTCTTTATCTATATAAAATGTGAAAACCCAATAAAAATATTTAAAAAACAAACAAAAAAAAAAACATATTCGCTCCTTCAGGGTGAGTTTAACCTCATCAAGAGCAAGCAACCTCCCACTCTTCCAGTTTGGGGAACCACCCACTAGCAGTGCCTCAGCCTTAACTGGACTGAGCTTTGGTTTGTTGGCTCTCATCCAGTCCATTACCATCATCATCATCATCATCATCAAACCTTTATTGGCATCACATACAAACATTCAGAATAAATAGGCCAATGCGATCTTGTCGCCATTTCAACAGTACAGTCATTTGCCAAAGGGAAGAAGAGGCGAGCAATCTATTTCACCTCTGTGGGACTCCAGCAAGGGCAGGGTCCTGTAGCGTACTTTGGTGGCAGAAAATCAAATAGAGGAACTTAGCTACTGTCTTGGTGAGCTCCTGGTCTCTCCCCGTAATAAGAAGCGTATAACCTCTGTCTCTGGTTTCCATGTTGGGATACATAGATGGTCTAAGAATTGTTGACAGAGATCATCATACCTTTTACATTTAAGGGCCATGTGAGCTAGAGTTTCCACCAGGTGGGCATCGCATGGGCAGATCCTATCTCCTTCTGCCATACCCGTGAACTTACCCCAAAGGAGGTTAGAAAGATTAGAACCCAACCAGTAAAAAAGCCCTTCTTTCTTGCGGGTTAAACAAAAATTGTAAGTAATAAAGGTTAAATTCCTGCGCCCAAGAGAGTCGAAAATAAAGAGGGGAACATGTTCTTTCCACAGCTGAGATTAGTTCCTGGCGATCTATGTTCCACAGCCTAGTTTTTAACATGGCCTTGGTGGTTGCCAGTTCATTACGAAGGCAAGACTGTGGTATGTTCCAGGATCCTTTGCAGTTCCATGTGGGATGCTGACTCATATTGCTCCCAGTATTTTGCACAACGACTTGGGATGCATGCGTTCATATCATGCATGCTACTTCGCTGGCATCTGTAAACATGGTAGCCAGGATTCTAAGAACTGCAAGCAAAGTTCCACTCTTGGAACGGAGCTTTTCTGCTTTGTCTTTTCTTTGCTTACATCTGAAGGTTGGGAAACTATCTGGAATGATGTTTGATTGGGGGGGGGGATTGCAGCTGTGTGAGTGGGAACTGTTGGCAATTGGAGATCCCACACCCCTCCCAGCAGTAATGGAAGCTATATTTTCCCAGACTGGGCCTTTGGCCCATCTAGTCCAATATATCTACACAAAGGATGGGGAACTCGTGGCCTTCCGGATTTTGTTGGACTCCAGTTCCCATCGTCCCTCACTATTGGCCATGCTGGCTGGGGCTGGCATTAATCCAACAACATCTAGAGGACCACAAGTTCCCCTTCCCTGGTTTGCACTGACTGACAGTCCAGTTTGAAGCTGGATGTGTAGATGCCAGGAATTGGACTGAGATGTTTTGCATGGTAAATTCATGCTATGCACCTGAATTTTACATACTGTTGGGTTCAAGCCAGTGTTGACAACTGCTTGGCTGTTGTTGTTTGTGCAGTCAAGACTTGGAGAAGCTGTTCATGGGTCCTACTTGCAACATTTATTTGTTGACTGGTAATGGGCCATTGTGAATAAATAGCCTGTCCTGCAAATGTTGGCAGGTTGGAGTTGCCACCGCAGTGGTTTTTATTATTATTATTATTATTATTATTATTATTATTATTATTATTATTTTAAAAAGAAGAGTGCTAATGGAAAACTGTTGTGAACCATGTTGAAGGTGGCAGGATGCAAAATGCAGAGACCGATGTGATTTTTTAATAGGAGCTTAAAACAAAATGAAGGCATTTATTAATTGGGACAATTAAAA